CCAGCTCAAGTAGCGCTTCCACTCCTAGCCTATATATCTCCCGTGCAGCGAGCCGAACCCTCAGCCTTACATAGACCTACGTCGGCGCCTTTGCCTCCTCACAACATGGCGACGGAAAACGGAACCAAGCCCGAACAGGCCGTGAACAACGAGAACTCCACTCCAGACGGCGCTGAGGCTCAGAACAAGGATGAACAGATCACTGTCTTTCATGACCCCATCAACTTCAACGTCAAACACCCTCTCATGAACGAATGGACTCTGTGGTTCACAAAACCTCCAAGTGGCAAAGTACGTGGTAGTGCATGGCGCGCTTCCCAAAGTTGCATATCCCATACCGCCCACCTATCATTGAATGTCTCGGATTATGCTAACCCAAGCGCTATCCTCTAGGGCGATAACTGGAACGATTTGCTCAAGGAAGTCGTCACTTTTAACTCCGTCGAAGAATTCTGGGGAATATATGTAAGTCCGGAATCTGTTCCCCCCAATGAGGGGCACGGTTCTAGCTCTTATTTATTATATACGGCATAATATCTGACCACTCACTTTGCTGTGAATAGAATAATATTGCGCCTACCTCTCAGCTCAGCTTCAAGTCAGACTACCATCTATTCAAGAAGGGAGTCAGACCAGAATGGGAGGACCAACAAAACAAGCATGGCGGCAAGTGGTCGTACTCTTTTAAATTCACCAAGGACCGGAACCAGGTTCCTATTGACGAACTCTGGCTACATGCCCAACTTACGGTGATCGGAGATACCCTCGAAAATGATGGTGATAATGAAGTCATGGGGGTTGTCGTTAACGTGCGCAAGTCTTTTTACCGAATCGGTCTATGGACCCGAACAATTGGACGTGCTAGCAATGAGCGCTCGCAAGATCAAGCACAGAAGATCCTCCTGGCTATTGGCAGACGGTTCAAGGAAGTTCTCAAACTGAAGGACAATGAGCTCCTCGAGTTCTCTGGACACACTGAAAGTGCCAATGCAGGAAGCACCCGTGCTAAAGCCAAGTTTACAGTCTGAGAAAACAGCCCCTGGTCATATAAGAGATTCAGTCTTATCCAGATATCAACTCTATATCGCTACGTTCAGTTCAATGCCTCCCCCTTAGTGCTGAACGGCCGTGGTGAAAGTTAGTAGGGAAGCTTTTACATCTTCCCTCATTAGCGGGATTGAGATTACCGGTAGAGATGGTTATTACGCTTTCTCAATTTGCAAAATGGAGTCTTATGAAGTCTCAGCATGCGCGTGATGTTCCCAGCGCAGCTTTCATTTCCCTGGATTGTTTTATCTTAGGAGCTAAAACTGGGGGTTTACGTGGTTTATTTAACATGTCTTCCGCTTTTACTTCTTAATGTCATTAAACTGCCATGCGCGTTTGCTCTTATTCGAAATTCCCCTTTCATAAAGCTGTTTCTATCATCTTTCTTCACCGTGTATGATGTTCGGTCCATTAGGCGATATCGCTTCCGGTTTGTTTTAGCCTTGAATTTATTCATCTAACAAGCTACAAATGTCCGTCTATGTTCATAGTGTACAAAAGTCTATATACACCCGTATTGTACACAACAACTTAGCATGCTATCAATACACCACATCGCCGAAGACCTGTTTTTTCAGGGCTTTCTTGTTTACTGGAAGAATTACTTGTCAGTAGCTCTACATCAAAATATCTCGAGTGGCAGTCGAGCACTTACCTTTTCCCATGGCGTTTCTTGGGATCCCGCCCTCAAGTACCCTCATCTCTTGAGGGATCTTATAACTAGACAGCTTCTCCTTCAAGGCACGGCGCAGGTCAAGTATTCCCCAGGGCCTTCTATCGCCAGATTCTGAAGCTGTATGCTTAGAGTCGAGAACCAGTATCGCGACGACCTTTTGACCCCATTGCTCCGATGGTAGGCCGACGACAGCAGCCTCCAAAACCTGGGGACTGCAGATATACCATGTTAGTCCAGCTAGAGTACAGAACAATATGAAAGAAGTCGGTACTTACAGGGAGAGAATTTCACGCTCAACTTCTAGTGCGCTCACCTTTTCTCCTCCGACCTTAATAATGTCCACACTCTGGCGGCCTTGGATAAAGTATAATGGGCCTTTGGCCCAGGTGCTTTCACCTTGCCCAGCGCCATCAACTGGCTTTCGAATAGCCATATCCCCTGTCTTGAACCATTTGCCTCTACCATCAGGGTCTTCAGTAAATGATTCCTCGGTGGCTTGCTTATTTTGCCAATACTCTTTGAATATGGTTGGACCTCGTAGCTGGATCTCTCCGACCCTCTCACGGCCGTCCTGGTCAAGCTCTTCCCCAGGGCGTATAACTGCTTGTTTATCAAGGTCGAATAGTCTGACCTCAACAGATGGAAGCGGCCATCCAACACTTCCATCTATTCTATCATTGAATTCTAGGCCACAACTGAGAGCCATGCCCACTTCAGTCATACCATATCGTTCAAGAAGGACATTCCCTCCACTAAGGTCAGTCCATGCCCCTTTTGTAGGCGTCGGTAATGCAGCAGAACCGGAAATATTTAGCCGTAGATTTCCCGGCGAAATGGCATCCTTGGCGGCCTGTTTGGTGGTATCAGAGAGTAAATCAAATGTATTCAGAAGACGGTGATAGATAGTTGGAACCGCTGTGAGGAAGTTTATAGGTTTTGGTGGTGGATTGGCCGTGGACTGAGGGAGAAATGGCTTAGCTAGTCTCTTCCATACCGCTGTAGGATTGAAGGGATATGTAAATTCAATAGATGAGCCAGCAAGTACCGGGGCCAGGATAGCATTGACAGTCCCATGGATGTGATGTAGAGGTAGCATGTGAAGTAGTCTGTCGTCTGGTGAATAAGACCATGCTTCAACCAAAGACTTTGTTTGCGCCGCTAGCGCAGAGTGTGGGAGGAATACACCTTTCTGATAACGATGATTATTAGTTGGCGTTCTACCGTATCCAAATTCAATAGTTCAGCATACCGGGCGATTGGTGGTTCCTGAAGTATATAGCATCATTCCTCCTTGAGGGTTCTCGATATTGCAAAATCCTACGCTCGACGGTGGCGTAGCTCCTTTTACAAGCTTGGGAATGAATTCCAGAACGGGAGGATTTATCAACTTCCCCTTGAGAACTTGCTCTGCTTGTTCCCGGTACCTTTCCGTAGCTAGGAGCACTTCAGCTTGCGAATTATCCAGTATATATCTCAGTTCTGACGCAGGGAAGCTAGGAGAAAGTGGAAGGGCAATCCCATCCGCAGCAAGGATAGATAGTAGTGTCACTATGCTCATTAGAAATGTTAGCCTTTTATATAGTGCCAAATTTCATCAAATCGACTTTATTGGGAGCTTCTACAGTACCTACGTAGTCGTAGCTGTTCTCTGCTAGAAATGCCACAGGCTTCCCCTGCAGATCCATAAGCCTTGAATGCCTTCCCCCGATAGTCTTTAGTTTATCTTGAGCTGATATGACATCGCCGAGAAGATTGCCATAGGTAAAAGTGCGGCCCGATGCGCTGTGGACAACCGATGTCGAGAGCTGGTCATGGGAGGCCAATGGATGCAACAGGGGAAAATTCGGCAGACTCGAAAATAATCGCATATGACGGCCTCGGTATCCCTTCCATTTCGGCCATGGTATAGCGCTATTCTGATTCACTTGAGCTCTTGGATGCTGCTGCGCAAATAGACGCAACCGCTGGCAACCAGGTCGTATCATCTTGTCGAGGTTAATAGCAGTTCTTTGCTATAGCGGTTTCTCGCCCACATATCAGATTATTAAACAACAGAAGTCAGCTAAAGGGCATCCATGAGTTTCAAGGTAAATAATGGTGGCCAGTCTTTATCTTCTATGATGTGTTGATGTGCAGAGTTGGAAGTTTCCCCAAGGTCGCGGATGCGCCCAGAAAGCTTAACTAATTTTTATTTTACCGACGACGACAGCCTAGGCCTAAATAACACCGAAGCCTTCTGCAAGACATATACAGGCAAGCAAACCTACTTACCAGCGCATTTGAAGCTCTTGTCGTTCTCCAGCTATTCCACATACCAGATGCTTCGAACCATCAGACTAAGCCAGCAGCGCCTGCAGGTTTTCTCACACATACCCAGAATGTCCGCCAGCACTGCAACATCTCAGACGCCTTTGGAAGACGCGATTCGGGAAAAGGTATGCCTCAGGTCTTATGTCAAGGAGATAAGTGCATGGGCATATAGCTGATTTCACAATGATTATATGCAGGTCACAAGAGAACTATCGCCGGTTTCCCTGACGATCCGAAATGACTCTAAACACCACGCTCATCATGCGCCCATGCAAGGAAATACATCTACAGAAACCCATTTCCAGTGCGTATATGGGAAGCATACCCATTGACGGCTAAAAACACGAAATTGCTAGCTTGCTCACTACTTCTCTTTACAGTGTAACGATAATTTCGTCCGCATTTGCATCGAAGACCCAGCCGGCCCGACATAGAATGGTATATAACCTGCTCAAAGAAGAGATGGCTCAAGAGGGCGGTATACATGCGCTACAACTTAAGACGAAAACCCCGGAAGAGGAAGAGAAGGCTGCGAAGCAGTAGGCAACGCAGGCGTGGACATGTGATGAGACAGCTGAGGAACTATATACCCTAGAGTCGGCGACTAGGCTCCATAATTGGAGATCGTAAGAGTCTGGGCTGGTGCCATAGCGGTTGCACCAAGGCATATGTAAGCCTTGAGTTCGAAGAACCATACTTTGCATGCTACAATATTGCATTTAAGCATTGGTCCGGTAGCGATAGACCTGGGACATAACTGGCATAAGTGGATAATTGAAGAGATAGACAATATAGTATCAGAATAAACTCTTATTGTTTACTCCAAAAAAATACAAAGCCAACCATTCTTTTATAAGGTGCAAGGAGAAGTAGACGACATGATGGAGAATAACACGAGAAGAACCGAAGAAGAGAGAAAAAGGAAACAGGGGTAATTATTATATAGTAGTAATGTCAATAAAAAGTACCTTCGAAGAAACAGACAGGAATCCAACAAAGGAAAAGTGTCACTGAGCCATAAGAGCTGATATAGTACAGCCGGGCGAGAATGGGATTGTAGCTGCTATGACGATTGACAAAGGAAAACGGAGGCTCCAACGATGATTGTGAATGTGGCTTATCGGTTCGATGCTAGAAAGCAGAGGAAGAGAAAAAAGGGGAATTTTTGTCGAGTTGCTAGGGGCAGATGTTCCAAAAGGGATACCAAAAGGATCTTACAATACTGGTTGAAGGGTATAAGCACATGTACAAAGGGAAGAGAGATATTTTCGCGGAGGGTCGGGTCGGAGGGGTGAAAAGCCATATACTCTGGCCATCGGTGTGTATAATGAGACGTAAGTAGAGGTAAGTGGTAGCAACCCTACTTCTTTTGTATAACAACGACAACGACAATGACGACAACAATGATGATGATGATAAGGACTGCGGAAAGATGGAATTAGTATAATTTGGCAAACTCCAAGGGAGAGATTCATGTACTTACGACAGATGAGAAGACACCACCACTTCTTTCTGTTACGAGCACGGGCGGAATCAATGGCGCCCTTAATCTCTTCATTGGCCTTGTCGACGTTCTCCCGCACTTCTTCACCGGTCTGGTCGATGTGAGCAATGGGTTCTTCTTGTTGAACAACCATAGCCTCAAGATCGTGGAACATCTGTGTCAATTCGACAAAGTCTCGTTCAATCTTCTGGATCTCCTCGTGTCTGGCCCGAACCATTTGCGACACCTTTTGGGCATCTCCACGGCGGTCACTTTGGATCAACTGTCAAAATTGGTTAGAATCTCTAATTCACACATGGAGATGAAGTCCGGTGAAGACATACAGCCTGGCTGAAGATCTGCTGGTTCGAGCTATCCTGAACGGCCTCTCTAACCTCGGCATCTGTTGCATCCGGTCGAACAATACGGTACTGTCGGGCCATTTGCGACTCGGACTCTTTTCGGAAATCGGCCTGAACTTGCTGGTATCGTGTGATGGCTGCCTTCAAGCTACGTTCAACTTTTCCAACCTGGGAGGAGTTACGTGGGCTTCCGGATTCTGGCATCTGCTTGATAGACTTGACTCGGTCGACCAAGTTACGATAAAGGCGCTTCGTCTGGTTGGCAAGGTCTTCGACTTCTTCTCGGAGGGCATTTTCACGAGCAGGGTCGACATCGCTGAGCAAACGGCGGTAGAGGGTGCTAAGCTGGTCAACATATCGGTTTACATCATCGATTCCACGGTCAACATCTCTGCACTGGTTTAGGATAGCGTTGGGATCTTGAGGGCGTGGCTGGTTGTATTGGGACATTTCTATATAGCCGGTTTAGTGAAATGCCGCAACCAAACAAATAAACAAATAAAGACTTAGAAGATAATGCTAGCCATACCATAATTGTTGTGGCCGGCTTCGACATCTTGGTTATACCCGTTACCGGGGTGTCCAGAGCCGGAGTAGTGGTCAATCTGGCCGTAGCCTCGTGTCTGGTTGTTGTATCCCTAAAAACATTCGATTGAAAATTAGCCCCCAGGGTTCCTCCTTGCCAAAGATCGCATGTTCACGTCAAAATGTACAGCTGTGATATCAAATTTCGACAAACGAGAGTGGCGACTCACGCTCATTGTGGAAATATGGAGTGCCTAGCCGTTGTCAATCCGGAGCGTAGGGTGTTGTGAGTCGAAAGAGGTCGAGATCGAGAAATTTTAGAAAAAAAAAAAAAAAAGTACGCAAACCAAGACTTCAGCAGATAATCTTTCTTGTTTAAAGTAAAGAAACAAAAGAGAAGAAGAAGGCTCGTATGTACACGCAAGAAGGACGAAGGTTGCTATTAATGGAGGGTGGCTGAATGCGAATCCAGCGCAAGGTTGCGGCCGTGGGTTGTGTAAATATGGCGATTGGAGGGGACTGGAGACGCGACGATCCCGGAGCAAGGGCGAGAGCTCGTGATCTGGAGGAGAGAATCAGTTCTGGAGAAACAAGAACGCCAGACAGGCCCAGGCAGCGACGTTCACGAGCAGACGAAGGGGAGCAGAGGACGAAAGGACGGGAGTCTGGAGGATGGGATGTTGTTCCAGCCGACTCGAGAAAAGGAGTCTCGGACTAATTAATTACGCGGCAAAAACGGGCGGTTCGAAGAGGCTCAGAGGCGCTAGTCCGCTTCGGGCGCTAGTGCCACCTGACGTGCATAAGTGGCCGAAAGAGGGATGTGCATGGTGCCGCTTTAGGGCCCTGTTTTGCAGCGAAGCAGGGCGCAGGAGGGCTGGGGCCGTGACGCCGCTTTAACGCTCTGCGATCCTTCGTCTCTCCGTTTATATTTAGCTGCTCCTCTTCAGCCCCTTCTTCGCCTGTCTTTCTCGCTAAGCTGCATGTCTTGAGTGATGCTGCAAGCATGAGCCTGGCGGTGAGGACATGTTGCCCTATGCCTCAGATGTATGGTCTTTCGGCTTGCAAGGCCCTCAGCGTGCTGGAGCTTTTTCGGGAGGATGTATCTACAGCTTGTGAAGGGACGTGGGAAAAGGGGAGCTCTAGTGGTGGATGGTTACACAGGTCCATAATTACATGCGCCGTGGCGCGGTGGACTTGGAGCCGAGGTGGTTGCCATAAGCCACCGAGATCTCCTCATCCGTAGACAGTGCACTAGCATCAAGTACAGAGTACTTTGTACCTTGGGTACACTTGGATGTGGTCAACGGTGGATTTGGTAGAGATGCTACTCCGTAATTTACTGGACAACGTTATAACATGACACCACAAGGCATTCTATGCACTTCGGGAACAAAAATATAGAATAAATCCTTTATGAACCAACCTCATCTTCTTAGACTGGATCAAAAGAGTCAAATACCTACAAAATGGTGTCTGAGGGACACTTCTACCCGTCAAAAAGGAATAAAAAGGGACATGGTCCATCATCCCGGTCTAAACTTTGATGTATTATGGGTACGCAGGAAGCCCATTGAATGCCAACTCGTATGCCCAAGCTCTGCAATGCTATGTCTGCTCATACGTTGATGGAGAACGAAACAATGGATGAAGAGTAGAATGAAATAATATTGCGTATGCCTCTAAAGTCAACAGCTAGACAGTGGATAGAACTGATATTGAATAAGATCTTTTGAAAGGCAACAAAACAAACGCTTTAACAGGTACAGTTATTGGGGAGAGCTGTAAGCTGGAGTTGCAACAAGATACTTACACTGCAGATGTTGCCTACATCAACGAGGCACCTCTTTTTTTTTTTTTTTTTTATAGCAGGGGTCAACAGCTGGGTCCATCTATCTGATATAAAAAATGGAAACAGGTCTTTGACTCGCTAATCCTCTTTCTTACCCCACCGTCTCGTCTCGTCTCCATCTTCCCAGTCGTGCTCTACATAGCCAAGTCGCTTCTTAACCTCGACCACTGTTTTCGGATCACCAGTATTCTTACCCAGGTTATCACTCAATTTGACTGCTGGCCGCCCTCCGGCACTGGAGACTTTGATAACGATATTGAGAGGAACAGATTTCTTTCCATTCGAAGTTCGATTGAAATCATCTATTTCATTCATGCTAATTAGCCCAACTCCAGACGAGGCAGGAAAATATGACAGATGCTGCAAAGGTAATTCATACTTGTGAAAAATGTACCAACTCCAAATGTGGGCTGGAAGCCAGATTCTTCTGCAATAACTTTATACTCCAGACAAAGTTCGATATTCAGGGAATCAGAGAACACGACCGTTTTCTTATCCTTGATACCTTCCTTTTCGTAGAAGTCCTTTGCCATCTTCAGGAAGTAGATGGGGTCGCCGGAATCTTGTCTCACTCCTGTGAAAACCTGGGCGTAGGTTTTAGTGGTGGTGTTTCTCGCCGCACTTTCAAATGGTTTCTGGATAGGGGGAACAGTTGATGTTAGGGAGTCAGTCTCGGAAGTATTAATTCCTGAAGAAGGCATCGTAGCCTCAGGGCCTTCTTCAGCAGATGTAAGCTCTGGTACTGGCTTTCCGAATGACTCAAGGAACGTGGGGGTTCCAAAGGTATCAGTCAGGGCAATACCCAGAACCTGTAGCATAGAATTAGCATCAACTGCTACGGCGATACCGCGAAATGAAAAAAAAAAAAAGAGAGAGAGAGAGACTTACCCCTTCACCGAAACACCCTAACCAGTATCTCAGTGCAATCTCGTTGGCATTCTCATAGTTGTTCGTGATAGCAGCTATTCCCATATACCATTCATGGGCAACGGTACCCACAGGGTCAATACCATATTTCATAGCGAAATGGACGTTACTGGTGCCTGCAAATTTCCCCTTAAACCCTTCTTCTACTCCTTTCTTCGCTGCTCTAGTAAGACCTTCCATCACCAGATTCTGGGTATGATAATCTCTGCGTCTCCGGGTTCCGAATTCAGAAAATATACATCCATTTTCAAGAAGTGCGCATCCCTTTCGGAAAGCTTTCTCTTCTTGTTGATGGTAATCCCAGTCACGATCGCAAAACTTGAAGTATGTTTCGCTAGTCAATGCCAGAAGGGGGATTTCATACAATATAGTTTCAACCCATAGACCCTTGATTGCTATTTTGACATCTCCCATGTCATCCTTAGATCCAGTGTCGTCAATTGGAATGAATGATACCTCCAGTTGCTCGGAGGGTTTCAGACGAAATTCTGATAAGTATTTAAGATATGCGGGGTTAAGGTATGAGCAACACTTCTGTAAGAATTCCAGCTCTTCTTCTGTCAATTTGATATTCTCCAATTCTGTGTACAGAATTATAAATCAGCGCTTGATTCCAAGGAAGTTTCGAGGGTCAGATTGGCTCTGAATAAGCCGATAAAGCTCACTGGATATTTGCTCTAGCAACCAGTTATACGACCGTCTAGTGAATTTCATGTCCGGTGTTCTGTTGGTAAAGGAGTATGTAACATCTGGAAAGCTCCGGGTTAGCCGTGACCTACGTAGTTTCGGAACATGTCTGCTTCCAGACATGTTAGAAAAATAAAATAACATACGAGCACTTGGAAAATATTTAAGGATGGCACATTGCATCGTCAGCTTATAGAGATCAGTGTCCAGCAGGGAGAACACCCCCTCTGGAGGAGGGGAAGTTTGGCCCATGATGGAGGAACTTGGAAGCTTCCCCGCGGTCAGTTCAATTGGGGGGTATAGAATCAACTCTGGTTGGGATTTGTAGAAGCAGAAATAGAGAGGATTTCATGCCCTAGGCGGACAAACATGAATTCTTTGATGTAAACAGCCGAAGCAGCCTCTGTTCTTACAATGTAAACAAGAGATGTTCCTTGTGATGAAGGTAGTGACAATAAACAAGGTACCTATGATATAGCTTGGACGAGCCTTTTGCCCGAAGTTTGCACTGTTTGCATTCAGCTCACCCTGTTTGTTGCCTTGGACCACCAGAAACCTCAACCAGGGCTTGAACAGCTTAACAAGGCCACAGCATACGACAGGACACAGCCGCCATATGAAGCTCCAGAGAGAATAGAAGCATATACCAGCATACCATATTACAGAATCAAGTTGTTTAATTTAACAAGAGTCGGAATGGGACCGATTCGGAGATACCTGCGTGTCAGCAAATACACCGTTCTTGAATGCCGAATATACCTAGAAAACCCATCAGACTCGCGATGGCTACTAGACTCTCATGATGCTACCCTCAAACGGGTCATTGAGAGCATCAGACCTCTCGTGCAGCCCAAGCTACGCGAGGAGAAAGAGCGGATCAAGGCCAAGAAGAAGAGCAAACCCGTGAAAGACGTCCTTGTTGAAGGTCAGTCAAGAAATGATGCCACTGTTTCGAATACCGACGGGGACTATTCCGTTATTAACAATGGACTTTAGATGATTTTGAAGTTTCTATATTCCTACGAGAAAGTGGAAGTCGGCATTCCCTGCTCACACGGCAAAAAGTTTTCAGAGACGACAAAGACCGGATCACAAGCAATTCCAAAAAAATGACAGGTGAGACGGATGACTCACCGATTGAAATATCAGAACAGAATACAGGCGAGACGAGGATACTAGTAGAGAGTGATGATGACGAAGAGATGCCTCTTGCAAACGACGAAGCGCCAGAGAACAATCAGAACAAGAATAATAACGATGCTGCTAATGAAAACATGCAGGATACCGCTGAGGTGGCGAACGAGTCCGCCGAAGACAAAAAGAAGCTAGGCCTTACTACAACGTATGATGGATTTGGAATATGGGGATGGGTCCTATGTCTAATCATTAAACGCAAGAAGCCGATGGAATCTTCCAAAAAGGCGAACGATGGGGAGACCGGACAGGCTCTGATGGAGGAGTGGATTTGCACTCAAGCACCACAAGAATACGACGAATAGCGGTGGTACTATGAACTCCTTCCTTAAACGGTTTCTCCTACATACTCTATGCCCCGCTTCTATTATTTTTCCAGAAACAGTGTCGAAGAACTCTGGTTTGGATTCAACGTTCGCCAAGTCCACCTTAGCACCAATGATTTATACCTGAAGCAGGGGATATGGATCCAGCACAGTGCAGATTACAACCTCCATATGCACACCGTTAAGTTGTACAGAGGACAGGATCGGAAGCCAAGAGAGGATATTTTCATAGTGGTTCTTCATCTTGAAGTTATCACGCCACGCCATGCGCGCCGCATAGAGCCTTGTCAATCTGGGGAGAGGGAATCGTCGGAATGTTACGGAGTATGGGGAATGCAGTCGATGTCACTCAGCTGAAACTCGGAACATTCGAAATGTTCTCTTTCTTTCCCCTCCCCCTCCTCGAGTCGTCACAGTGATTATTGTGAGCAAGGGAACAGGGGGGCGGGGAGATTTGGGAGGCTCGAAACTTGTCACACGTTGATATCGACCTGTTCACATGAGGGAGGGGGCCGTTGTTCAGGGGGCCCGCGACGAATGTGACAGTTTCAACCGAGTGCACGCAAGCAAAAGCCGTTACGTACAAGTATGCGACTTGACATGGCGCTAAGCAGCAGAAAGAGAGAATGAGAGAAGCTAAAGTGAAAGATTTTTTCTTCCGACGAACCACTTCACCCTGACTACTTAACTTAGTATATGTAACTGAAAAAGAACCCCATAAAAAAATATGGGATCTTCAGCTGCGCAGGTCACAACAAAGTTCCCGAACGAGAGAAATTAAAAAGTCACCTTCCAGAAACGTTAGCCCCGTTTTAAGGCTAGTTTCTCCAGGGCGAAGTTCAACGGTCAGGAGAAGTCCCCAGTCTGCCTTCCACCAACTATTTTAGCAGAGAAGGGCGATTTCTGGAGTTGCTGGTTAAGCAGGCCAATCACGTTGCTCCACGGCGGCCGAACTAATTTAACCAACCCATGGATGGACGCAGATCAGTATGAATTTTTTTTTTTTAAAGCAAACAAACCACGTTTCTCAACAAGCTTGTCAAACGATTCTGACGACCAATTGAAACAAGCGACGAGCTATCCCTGAGGCACAGCCGGGCAACGCTGATGAACATGGGCCTCCTTCTCCTTTTTGTCGCCCAGCCGCAGCCAAGCAAGACATGTTCGCTGACACAATATACCTATATACTTAATATTATGCAACTCTCGATCAGGAGAATAAGAATATGATGTCGGATCCATCATCCTTGCCCGTCGGCCTTCAGCTCCGTTGCCTTAATATGGCCATAGACGGAATCCGGCGATCTGGTCAACTAATGCCGAGATAAAAGACCGATCAGTTATATATGCAAGGAGCGCTTATAGCTGCATGCCTTGGGCGAAGCGCTCCGAACAGGGTAGAGTGCATATATATTTGCCATGGCAAAGGATCCAGCCAAGCGCCCACGCCGATATATTCATTACATACTATGCAGCATTGGACGAAAAAGGAAGATGGAGTTTATTTTTATTTTTTTTTTTTTTTCGCGGTCTTGCAAAAGCCGACGCCATGCCTCGGCCTATACTGCATGAAATCCGGCTATTAAACGCCTCGAAGAAGCAACGACGACAATGTCTGTGTGTAGGTAGGCGTTGCGAAATTAAAATCAAGCCCCAAAAGGCAGACAAGACAAGAGAGCAGGAGTTCGCCCCGAGCAGCCGAAAAAAAAAGGGACCCCCTGTCGGAAACGACCGATAAGATTTCTTCAAACGAACGCCAAACAACCGGGTCCATCCATTATTTCGCTGAAGCAGCTTCGTCTTCTCTTTTCGTCTTTTCCTAGTCGACGAGGTTGCTGAGTTACCTAATTGAAATGAGAAGACCCTCCAATTATCGCTTCTCTGTCTGTCTCTGTTTTAAGATTTCGATCTCCGACATTATTAGTTGGGATCAGGGAAATAATAAGGATGGCCTGTTTGATAATATAATAGTAATAATGATACTGCCTGGGCCAATGGGCTTGAGTGACACCCTGTTTCAAGCACCAATAAGATAATTTCAAGCGCTGCCACGGCGTCAAACTAGTTGCCGTGGCCGGGCAACAAGAGGCAGGCAGAGTACCCCCTTAGGTACCACGAGGTACACCGTCGATCTCGCTTTTTTCATCTTGCAGAGTTTCAGCCCTGTGTAAATGTGTTTAAAATATTATTGAGCAGTTAGTCCTATTATGCTATCCTTATGTAAAAGAAGCTGGCGCATCCCTTAAAGGGCAAAGTGCGGCCCTTAGCAGAATCTTCTTGGGGTTTTCTCAAGGCGGACAAGGCTGAAGAAGGAATCAGTTCTTTTTCTTTTGCAGTGTATAAGTCATGATTGCTCGGGAGATGCGAGGCTAGAAAAGCTACGGTGAGACAGATAGGCGCACAAAGAAAGGGGAGAGAGGAGAGAAATATGATTGTACGGAGTCGAAGTAGGTAGGTTAATGGGTCGGTGTCTGTTTGCCCCCTTTTTTTACATGCATCCATAAGTATATAGACGTGCATTGTGGTTGTACGGAAACGATAATGGAACTGCATCAATAGGCGAAGAGAAGGAAACAAGAACGAGATCGAGAGACAACGACGGAGATGTCGACTGATATGGAAACTCGGAATGCATGTAAGTAAGACGATGCGCCCGCAGAGAGCTCCGTTCTGAACAACCGGTGTAACCAAGGCTGAGAGAAGATACATCCGCACGCACGCACTCTGCATAAGGTAACGGACAGACAGAGACAGACGGACGGACAAGACAAGACAAGACAAGACAAGACTCTCTGCTTGGGCGCCGTACATCGTACAGCGTACCCTCACGCGGGATGCAGAAGCAAAGCAAGAAAACAAAAAAGC